CATAAGAGCGCGGCTACATTGGGAACACATGGTAGCCGATAGAGAAGCGACATGAAATAGGGGAATAGATCATGTGGATAAGGGGGCGATAACGGGTGAGGGGTGATGCGATAGCGGAAATAGCGCATTGAATACAGCCCGCGTTCTAACTACGGCAAATCACATGCAGATATCGACTTACGGGTACTCAACCTATCCGGATAGGGGTCCGGGCCAGCCGGATAACCGTCCGTGCCCTGACACGGCCCCGCAAAGTCCCTGCCCTTCTACCACTTCCATCATCTGCACCCCCATCCTTGTGCCCGTTATTCACGCCGTTGTCCATCACTTAGTGGCACCGATAGTGGTTCCCATCTACGGCCCTGTAGCGGTGCCTCCTTCTTTCCCCCACCACCACTTGAGCTCCTCAGCCATTCGGCCGATACCGTTTTATTCTTATTCATTCACTTAACTTACTAGCGGTCAATGTTGTTGCCACTGACCCGCTCCTTATTGACATTTGGTTTATTCCTTTATTGACACTTGGTTATTCTTTTATTGACATCTGATTTATTCATATATTGACATTCTGATCCGCCAGGCGCTTAGATTGCCGGGCTATTCATTCTGCCTCCCAACTTCGCTGTCCTCTGTCCCATTCATTTCTTCTGTTCCATTTCCCTGGTCCTCATCGCTCTTTTAGTACTTACCACCCCGCTCCCATCCCACGCCGGACCGACCGGTCCCCTCTCTGTTCTCCTTTCGTATTTATACTTGTAGTTTACTGTCGATGTACTTGAGTTCGAATATCGACTAGAATTCCCCCCCAAGTACTCTCATCTTAAGTTCACCTCTCAGTCCATCTCCACTTAAGTCAACATCGCTGCAAGGTACCTCCCGCTAACTTGAAATACGGGACAGCCTAGAACGCATGGCGCAACGCTCCAGCCAAGTCGTTGAAGCCGAAGTCCCAACCACCACGACACCTTGCAATAGAGTAGCTCATTAGCTAAGTGTCCACTCATGCTGCCGTACTCCACTCCACTTCCCGCGAATACCTCGAATACAGTTTCTGACAGTATATTCAAACTCACTGCATGTTCCAATGGCTTCTAGACACTACGTAACTCGTTTGCAGACCCGCGAACCATCCACCTCCACACAGCAGCACCAATCTGGTCTCGGGATTCCTGATGACTATGACCTTGACATCGACACACCCTTTGCCAGCTTCACAGCTGACTGTGGAGGCCAACAATCATTGACACTGTTGTGGGGACAACTCCGTGTACCGCAAAAAGTCGGATTCTGCGGAATTTGGTCACCAACATGCAGTACATATCCGCTGACGCTCCCGATACTCATTCTATCACTATCCAACACTCCATACACTCACTCCATATTTTTCCATATTTTCCCCATCATTCCCGACAACCCCAAGCAAAATTCCCACGCCCAACCATGCCGCCAATTTCACCCCCTCTCCAGACCTCCACACCCACACGTACAACCCAGCCGTTCTTCTACCCGATAGTGATACTCTACCACCCTTCTTCACCCCCGGAGCATTTCCCAGAATGGCAATCCCATATCCGGATGGTTCAGCACGGAGTATACTCTCACGTGGTCTTGACAGCACCTGTCAATGGCCACATCTCAAGAAGTACTGCACCAAATGGGACGAATAGGGGCTCGTTGGAAAGCTGGAGACGAGGAGGTTGCTGGAGGGAGGATAGGCGGGCGCTGTGGCGAAGTGTTGCGGAGTTAATTTTCACAATTCCCATTTCGGACCCGTTATCACATATTCCCCATTCATTCATTTTTCTTTTATTGTTTCTTTGTTCCCAATTGGATATTCATCATTTACGGTTGCCTAACGGCCCGTTTACATTCCCCCATGCCATTCATTCCATTTCAAACATATATAAACTAGATAACAGCTTGTACATAACAAGTTAGTATTGAATAGACCCGTGAAGGGACAAGCAGAAGTTACATCCAAGTGGCAAAGACGCCATCCACGACCCTAACGCCCCCTCTGAGTTAGTTGATAACGTCTAAGACCCCTCTTATCAGAATCCTCAGCCTTGACGTCCAAGAGAGACATAGGTGAGTGTTTGTTTGAGGTTCTAGCAGACCCGGTAGCGCCCCAGGACCAAAACCCAGCCCCACGAACCACACCCACGCACACTACCACCCTCCCCCTTCTCTCTGTCTCGAGTCTAGGCGATAGATCCGTTACAATGCCTGTTTTTATAAGGTCCCAATCTGAGGCTGAAGTGGAAGGCGATGTCGATGCCACCGCAGTTCCCGAACCTTCCGCACCTCACCCTCTGCCATCTTCGTCAAGGCTGCCACCACCAGTTGACCCAGTTGTTCCGCCTCCTGATGGTCCTGTTGGTAACAACCCTGACCCTGATGATCCTGCTAACGTGCAAGACAAGGCAAGCATCCTGATTCAGTTAACTCAAGCCATTGTGGCTCTCGCCCAGTCCAACGTCCCTCGTCAGCCGCCACCTCTGCCACCTCCGCCACCTGCCTTGATCGACAATTATCACACGAAGGTGCGCGAGCCTGACCAGTTTGATGGGTTGGACCAAAAGAAACTCTGTACGTTCCTAGTTCAGTGTCAACTAAATTTCTGGGATCGTCCCCAGGCGTTTAGCTCCGACCGTAAGAAGGTTATCTATGCTCAGTCGTTCCTAATGGGCTCTGCACTCAATTGGTTTGAACCTGATCTCTTGCGCGCACCTGGTGGTCAAGCACCTCCCTGGGAAGACAACTGGGAACATTTCATTGAGGAACTCTGCAAGAACTTCAGTTCACACAATCCCGCCTGCGACACGGAGCATCAACTAAAAAACTTGGTCATGAAGGACAACAAAAGGATTAGCAAGTACATCATTGAATTCAACTGTTACGCTTCACAGTTACGCGGATACGGTGAAGACGCTGTAACGGGTCTATTGCCTAGACTCGAGACAGAGAGAAGGGGGAGGGTGGTAGTGTGCGCAGGTGTGGTTCGTTGGGCCGGGTTTTGGTCCATGGGTGCTACTGAGTCTGCAAAAACCTCAAACAAACACTCACCTACGTCTCTCTTGGACGTTGTTGTGGGGACAACTCCGTGTACCGCAAAAAGTCGGATTCTGCGGAATTTGGTCACCAACACGCAGTACATATCCGCTGACGCTCCCGATACTCATTATATCACTATCCAACACTCCACAAACTCATTCCTTATTTTTCCCTATTTTCCCCATCATTCCCGACAACCCCAAGCAAAATTCCCATGCCCAACCACGCCACCAATTTCACCCCCTCTCCAGATCTCCATACCTACACATACAACCCAGCCGTTTTTCCACCCGATAGTGATGCTCTACCTTCCTTCTTCACCCCCGGAGCATTTCCCAGAATGGCAATCCCATACCCGGATGGTTCAGCACGGAGTAGAGTCTCACGTGGTCTTGACAGCACCTGTCAATGGCCATATCTCAACAACTACTGCACCAAATGGGACGAATAGGGGCTCGTTGGAAAGCTGGAGACGAGGAGGTTGCTGACGGGAGGATAGGCGGGCGCTGTGGCGAAGCGTTGCGGAGTTAACCTTCACAATTCCCATTTCGGACCCGTTGTCACATTTTCCCCATTCATTCATATTTCTTTTATTGTTTCTTTGTTCCCAATTGGATATTTATCATTTACGGTTGCCTAACGGCCCGTTTACATTCCCCCAGTCCATTCATTTCATTTCAAACATATATAAACTAGATAACAACTTGTACATAACAAGTTAGTACTGAATAGACCCGTGAAGGGACAAGCAGAAGTTGCATCCAAGTGGCAAAGACGCCATCCACGACCCTAACGCCCCCTCTGAGCTAGTTGCTCACGTCTAAGACCCCTCACATCATAATACTCAGCCTTGACGTCCAAGAGAGACGTAGGTGAGTGTTTGTTTGAGGTTTTTGCAGACTCAGTAGCACCCACGGACCAAAACCCGGCCCAACGAACCACACCCGTGCACACTACCACCCTCCCCCCTTTCTCTGTCTCGAGTCTAGGCGATAGACCCGTTACAACGTCAAGGCTGAGTATTATGATGTGAGGGGTCTTAGACGTGAGCAACTAGCTCAGAGGGGGCGTTAGGGTCGTGGATGGCGTCTTTGCCACTTGGATGCAACTTCTGCTTGTCCCTTCACGGGTCTATTCAATACTAACTTGTTATGTACAAGCTGTTATCTAGTTTATATATGTTTGAAATGGAATGAATGGCATGGGGGAATGTAAACGGGCCGTTAGGCAACCGTAAATGATGAATATCCAATTGGGAACAAAGAAACAATAAAAGAAAAATGAATGAATGGGGAATATGTGATAACGGGTCCGAAATGGGAATTGTGAAAATTAACTCCGCAACACTTCGCCACAGCGCCCGCCTATCCTCCCTCCAGCAACCTCCTCGTCTCCAGCTTTCCAACGAGCCCCTATTCATCCCATTTGGTGCAGTACTTCTTGAGATGTGGCCATTTCTACATTTCCTATTATGAACACGACTTTGAATTTGCATTAGTTCCTAAGGAATCCTTGTTCCGTGGTACTTCCATCCTCGGCTACATGTGCAGACATGGGAAAGTAGTTTCTGTGGAGGTTCTCTGGTTGTTTTTATAGTCAAATCTTGGTCGATTGTCCTAATTCTTGGTTTAATATTTGCTATAAATTCAACTGAGAATTCCATCTTGTTGATGCTAAGCTTGAAGTATTTTTGCTAATTTTCTTTCTTCCATTTTATCGTATGTAGTCGTAATAATTCGTAAAATTTCGTTAAAATTCAGGTTCTTCTATTTTCTCATATTTACTTGTCGTATGGGGTTTCGTGATTTATCTGGCATATTTCCATAATGGGTTTCCATAGTGTGACTGTTATTTCTCCTACAGCGCACTCACACACCACCCAGTGGCAACCTGGCAGCAGGTCTCCACCAACTTTCAAAGACCTGCACAGGCTGCTGGGGCCTTCAATGACCTACGAAGAGTTTCGAGGTTGTATGGAACAGTACTGTTCCAAACCAGGTGCATCATTGGCATGCCTTTTTTCCACTGGCTTGCCAACTTCCCCCTGCCCCCCTCCTGAGCTTACCTCTCATTATGAGAGGTCACAGACAGTTCATCTGACCGTCATTCTACTGGTTTCATGCCGGAAGGAAGGCACCTCAGCATCTGCTGAGTGCCAGCTCACCAAAGTGCCCAGCGCTTTGGCTTTCTCTGGGCAGGCCAAATCCCTGGCCACAACTGTTCCTTCTCATTGTGAGAAGTCAAAGATGGTCCACACAACCATCTCCCCACCTGTTCCATGTGGGGATAAGAGCATTTCAGCATCTGCTGAGTGCCTGAGGTCTGAAGTGCTCCATGCTTCGACTTTTTCTGGGCCAGCCAAATCCATGGTCCATACGCATTCCTCTCGCTCTGAGAGGTCCAATACGGTCCAAGCAACCGTATCCCCACCCATTCCATGTGGGGAAAAGGGCGTCTCAGCATCCACTGAGCGCCAGCTCACCGATGTGCCCTGTGCATCGACTTTTCCTGGGGCTGTTAAATCTCCAGCCCCTATCTCTTCCTTTCATTCCGAGAGGTCAGTGGCCGTCCCTGCGACCACTCCTCCACCTGTTCCGAGTGGGGAGAAGCGTGTGCAAGTCCGGGTAGGGTGCCAGCTCACTGAGCACCCACGCAACCTGACCTTCAAGTTTTCCAGGTCAAATTGCCCAGTGGTTCTTTCCACTGTCCCCCGGCAACCCGCTTTGCCTGTATGCCCAGAATTGACACGGACAACATGTCCTATGTCGATTCCAGGCCAGGTTAATGGTAGTCTGGCGCCTGTGGACTGCCAGCTTGCGGAAGCGCCGACCCGCACTTCTGTGATCCCTGAGCCATTAAAGGCTCCTACCATCACCCCTGGGTCTGGATCCGTCCCAGACCTAATCATACACACACTCCCACACTCCCAACTCCCATTCCCAGAGTCTGAGGGGGAGAGTGAGTCGCTGGAGGACGACATCACACTTGCTGTTCCAGCAAGCGCAGTATTCCTCCTGCCCAGTAGAAATACTGGGCTGCATCATTTGCGATCGGCTGAGATAGCCGATCAACTCCCTTCACTCATGAAGGGAGACCGTGATCTAAAAGATAGGATCAAATCCTAATCTTTTCTCCCATTCCATGCAGACTGTTTCCAGTCTGTGCTACCTTTGCTGCCATTTAATGGCAGCAATCTCTCATTCTGAGAGGCTCTACAGCCTCTCAGCGCTAGTAGACTGGCTTCTCAGCTTTCGCTGAGAAGTTTCATCGCACCATGGCACGTTCCATGTGCCAGATCCTCCCATACCCAACCATATCGGGTTTCCTATTACTCAAGGCTGCGAAACCAGCCTTGATACGACCTATCAAACCGCTGACAATCGCGGTTTTCACAGTCCCCAGTGACTGCAACCAACTCGCGCGATGAAAATCGCGCAAACGCTCGAGTGGGCCTCACTACCCACTCCCTCCCCTTTCCTCCCACCCTGCGAGGCTAGAGATGGTCTATACGACCATCTCCCAACCGGTTTTATACCAGATCGACGGCACCTCAGCATCTGCTGAGTGCCAGCTCACTGAAGCACATCGCGCTTCGAGGATTTCTAGGACAGTCTAATAACTGACCATATCCCTTCCACTCCCAATCACTAGGAGTGTGTAGAGACGGCCTACATGACCATCTCCCCGCTGGTTTTGCGCTAGAACAAGGGCCCTTCAGCCCCTGCTGAGCGCCAGCTCACAAAAGCGTGTTAGCGCTTCAACATTTTCTGGGCTGTCAAATTGATGGCTCCCACCTCTTCCTCTCATGCTGAGAGGTTGTAGATGGTCCCTATGACTGTCTCTCTACTGGCGTCACACCAGTAGTTCAGCTCTCCAGCTTCAGCTAGGGAGCTGGCTCATGGAAGCGCGCATGCATGCATTAGGACCCGTAAAATTTACGGCCCTTACTCCTTTCCCTCATCCTGAGAGGCTCTGTATGGTCTATCCGACCATACCCCTACTGATTTTATACCAGTAGTACAGCTCTTCAGCTGTTGCTGAGAGCTGACATCCAGAAGCGCCACCCGCTTCATCAATTTTACCCATAAGGATGGGTAAAACTATATTTTCGCTCCCTAACAACTGTTTAGGGAGGAGCGGCCTTTATCGGCCTGGGGTTTATTGACCCCAACACCCCCCTCACAATTGTTTAGAGAGGAGCGGCCATCAATGGCCTAGGGTTTCATGACCCTTATGTTTTTATTTTATTTTATCATTCCTTTTATTGATTAATTCCCTGGAACCGGGAATTTGAAGGCCTAATCACCTTCACAAGTAGAGGTCTAACCACCTCTACCTTATGTTTTAATTTTATCTTAAATTTTTAATCTTGATTTATTCCTGTTAAATTGGGAACTCTTGCGCTGTCACACCAACAGCTCTTAATGGCCTCTACATTACTTTGAATTCTTGAACCATCAAATCAATGGTTCCATGAAGGCCTAACAGCCTTTGCATTAATTCTTGAGCTGTCTCAACAACAGTTTAATAAAGGTCTAACCACCTTTATCTCTAATTTTATTTCGGACTGTCAACAAACAGTTCTGTGTCAGGGACTCGTCCGGGGTCGAGGGGGTCCGGGTATAGCGTCCAGGACCGAGAGCCTGGCGGGGGGCGGATCAGGCGTGCATACTGACAGGCCCGATGCGGGACAGTGGTCCCTGGCCACTTAGACTGAAGTGGAAGGTTGAGAAGAAGGCTACTTCTTCAGTTCCCACTTCAGGTTCGTTTATATACATGCGGCTTGGATCACATGACGGGTGCCACGTCACCCTCGCACACAGCTGTAACCACCCGGGTGTCTCCGTGGGAGATCCCGAGGGCATCCAGTGCAGGCGCGCGTGCTGGGCACAGCGGGAAGTCGCCCGAGGTGCCCGGGCTGGGTACATGGTGGGCACGCTGCAGGTGGGTCAATTGTACATTGATACAGAGAAAGTCGTCCATGTAGAATAAAGGGAGAATAAAGGAGAAGTAAGATAAGGAGAAACTGAGGAGGGGAGGATGAGGGGAGAAGAAGGGAAAGGGGGAGGAGGTAAGGAGAGGTGGACCGGCAGGGTACTGGGTCAGGTTGGGCCGGGTGGAGCCAGGTCAGGCGGGTGTGCCCTGACATTCTGTAAAGGCCTAACTGCCTTTACCTCTTTCTCCATTCATCTTTCCTATTTTATTATATTTCTTTGGGAGGCCAAACACTCCAGCCTGCTTTATGCAATAGTAAATATCTGTTAGAACTGGGTGAGGGCAGACGATTCTGGAGGGGAACCGGAGACTTAGGCCTCAGCGACTCAAGCGGAGCGCTGTGCCATTGCTGTTTGTCCATTTGGTCCTTAATTTCATAGGTGGCGAGCAGGAAGTCTCTAGGGGGCATTTCAGGTCGATTTTAGACTAAGGGCCTAAAACGAGTATGTACAAGCACCAGTATATAATGGAGAGGGAAAAAGCATGAGGAAACAAGAAAGATCTGAATCGGAACTAAGGTGTCCAAACGGGACAAAGGGAAGACGAAAGCGGAGCAGTACCGAAGGTTATAGGTCAGAACCCATGGTACGTCTGAAAGGAGATAGGGAGGGCAAGGCCCAGAGGGGCAGGAGGGTGAGGGGAAGTGGGGATGATGACTAACTGGCTAGAATGGGAAGAAGCAGCAGTCCAAATAAGGATGAGGGGGAAATGCGAAAGATACATTACAAGCGGCAAAAGTGCCGAATATGATCCATGGAGCTCAGAGGTCATGGAGCTTATGGAGCTTACGGAGGTGGGGTTGAAAGTCCGAGGAATATTGGCAATGGTGTTTATGTAGTATGAGGTCACCAATGCAATGGACTTAAGCCGAGGTGGAGTCAAAGTCTGAGGTCGGAACTATGACGGAATCTCGGAGCGAAGGTACGAGCGATGTCTGAGTACAGGGTATGGGACAGCAGCGGAAGGTCGTAACTTGGCGGAGGTATGGCGGGAGAGGGTCAGAGGGCAGAGGGAGAAGAGAGGAGTGGGGTGAGGAGTGGAGGAGAGGAAAGGTGTCAGGTCCAAAGGTGAGTATCGGAGCAGACAGGGGAAGGGTAGGAGAGTGACAGAAGGGTGGAGGTGTTGTGAGGGGTGAGAGGAGGAGTGGTGTCAGGTCCAAAGGTGAATATTGGAATGGACTGCGGTAGGGTAGGACTCCGGGGGTGGTGGGGAAGGAGGTCTGGGAGTCGGATCAGGATCAGGTATGTACGGATATGACAGTTGGGACCAAGACGGAGTCTCAGAGTGAAGGTACAGGCAGTGTCCAAGTACGAGGTACAGGATGGTGGCAGAAGGTCGTAGCTTTGCGGAGGTTTGGTGGAAGAGGGATGGAAGGAGGGGAGTGAGGAAGGGGAGTAAGAGGAGGGATGATTGTCAGGTCCGAAGGTGAGTATCGGAGTGGACAGAGGTAGGGTAGGAGAGGGATGGAAGGGTGGAGGTGACACAAGGAGTGAGGAGGAGTAAGAGGAGAAGGGTGGCAAGAGGAGTGATGTCCAGTCCGAAGGTGAGTATCAGAGTGGACAGGGATAGGGTAGGACTCCAGAGATGGTGAAGTGGAGGGTCTGGGAGTCAGATTGGGATCGGGTATGTACGGATATGACACACATTAACCATGGTATCATACCATGTGTCCTCTTTGTTGGAGGAACACCACGCATTGACCGATCTCTATTGTCGTGTGATTTGCATGTGACTTCCATTATAGTATAGTCATGTTTATTTTTTGAATTCTTTTCTTTTTCCTCGGTTCTTGCTGTAGAGACTGAGGTCAGTCCCTTTCATTCAACTTCATATTTAGCTCTTATCTTACTTTGTAATTAGTCATTCTTTTAGGTTAGGATAATCTATCTTAGTTCTCACTGTAGAGACTGAGTCACTCTTTTAGACATTTTATTACTCTTGGTTTCTTACTTGGACACCATATATTCACTGTGTTTTGAGGCAAAATATCCGAAGTGATATCCAAGCTTGGATACAAGACTTTGCTGTGTCTGTGTTAAATTTGAGAATCAGATATCCGTGCCCTTACCTCAAGATCCCTGTGGGGACATCTAATAGGAGGGCTAATGCAGGAGCTCAGTGAAAGGTTTGCTTACTTGTTTGGGGACTGTCATATCCATCCATGGCCATCACCCTCCACTACCTCTGGCCCTTCCGGATTACCTCCGCTCCTTCATCACTAACCTCAGAGCCTCCAGATTCTGCAACCACCTCCAACTCCCCCGATGGTCACCACCCCCTCAATTCAATATATTACCTATGCCTCCCTAAGTATGGAGCTGTCATATCCATCCATGGCCATCATCCTCAAACACCTCCAGTCCTCCAGATTCCCTCCACTCCTCCGTCACTAACCTCGGAGCCTCCGGTGTCCACAATCACCTCCGACCCCCCCCCCTGATGGTCACCACCTCTCCAATTCAATATATTACCTATGCCTCCCTAAGTACGGAGCCCCGAAGGTCTCCAGACAGCTCCGACATCTGCTAGCGCACTCCCACCTCCGCTGGGCAATTCACTTGCTTGCCCTGCAAGTCTACCTTCAGGCCTATCCCTCCTTTCCACTTGTGGGTTATAGCCCATCATTCCGCTAAACCCATAACCCAACTCGTCGGTAATATTCAGTCAGCTAACATCTAACTCTGTTAGCTCCGCTCCACTCAGTCCCACCATTCACGGGCCCACCCCCTATGTAACTATATATACATAACTTGTAGATAGGTTACACCCTAGTGATAAAATCGACTAGAGTTTCCCTCTTCTAGTTCTCCTTGCCAGTTAGTAAATTAGGGCATGGATGTGTAACTAGGCACAGCGCTCTTGGTCTAGTTGCTGAGGCCAAAGCCCTCTGCCACAGGGACGTCTCCTTCGTCCCATATCTGGTCTCTGACAGCTTGTGGACTATTGTTCTCCCTTTGCCACTTGTTGTTTCTTTATTTCCTTTTTGTTGGCAAGGTTTGCTGATGTTGACCATTTGTCTATTCTTCATTCATTAATATCGCATTTGATCCACCACTGTCAGGGCACACCTGCCTGAGCCAGCTCCACCCGGCCCCACCTGGCCCCACCTGACCTGGTACCCCGCTATCCA